ACTCCAGTTTAAATTTAAAACAGAAACAAAAAAAAAAACTTCACAATTCATCCTTTCACCAACATGGTATTTATAATCAGAAACTTCCTCAGTAAAAGATGCTTAATTTAGCCAGACTTGGTGATGAAAGGCATTATAATCCCAGTCAGTCAAGGTACAGAGAAGGCAGGAAGATAGCAAGTTCAAGGCCTCTCTGGGCTGCTGAATGAGTTCAAGGTCAGCTTGGGCAACTTAGTGAGAATCCTGTCTTCAAAACCAAAAAGAAAAAGAAAAACATGACTTGAGATACAGCTCAGTGGTAGACCTCAGCGGGAACACTCAATTTGTTGCATTAATGATATTTTATAAGATTTTTAAAGGTGTCTTTTTATAATACAGTAACTCACATGTTTTTAGCATAGCAATAAAAGTATTCATCTCACTGCTCCTCCATTAGTCTATCAAGTCCTTCAGAAAAAAATCACATTTACTTTGTCCATTGCCACATTCCCAACACCAATCTCGGCACAAAGTAAATCTCAACAAATATCTGCTGAGTTACCAAAACAAAAACCCAACTATATGAACCCAAGGTTCAAACAAATTTTTACGTATTTTTTGATAATTCATGCAAAACGATAACTGGAATTTTGAAAAACCTCCCTCACCCCCAAAAAAATCACTTCATTGATTTGGTGTACTCTACAAAGGTGAACAACTAAGATTTTACACTCTAGCTTCACTACCAAGTCCTGACAAAATACAATTCTTATGTGATTTTCTTCCTTATACATTTATATCTAAATACAGTAAATAATTCATTGGTTCATTTTTAAAATTCTCCCACTGGTCTTATCTCTGAAACTGATATTAAATGATTCACTGTTAAATAAAAATGTATCTTTTTTTAAAATTTTACACATAATTATAGTTCAGTATGTAGTAGTAAAATCACAACACTTTATACTAGGAAAAGATTTTAGAATCAATGGTAATCCTTCATGTTGAAAGCTAAGATACTGACTCAGAAAAAAATACGGCTACACAATTAACCCAGTTAAAGCCCAGATTCTAATGCTCAGTACAGAGTACTTTGAATTCATTACATGCAATGTAAACACATATATCAATTGTTAATAAAAAGCAGGACACTACTCAAGACATCTCTTTCATCTCCAATTATGCCAAACCTTTCATCTGATGACCATTTACAAATCCCAGTAAGGAAGATTTAGAGTGGAAGTTACTGCTTATGAGAAGATAAAGATCTGCTTTGCATGTTT